TTTTTTTTTTTTTTTTTTTGGTTTCCAGGGACCTGTTGAGCCTGGAAGGACCACAGCTAAGGTCTACACACTCACTGGGACTTTTGGCGATATTCCTGCAGAGCTTTCTCTGCCACGGTCTCCATAAATTTAGGATTGTTCATGGAGACTTCTTCTGGGACAGTCACAGTGATGGGATCAGAATCAAAGAGCTTCAGAACCACCTTAGTGAAGCCCGAGGGAACGCTGGAGTCAGAGGTGCGGGAAGCCACCTGGGAGGAGGAAAGGTAAGAGAAGGGTTGAAACACTGGCAAAACCTCACTCATCTTGCAACAAAAGTCAGGCTTAAATCTGGGACCGCTGACCCCTTTGCTTTTTACTAATCTCAACATGTGTACAGCTCACTGAAAAGAAATGCCCCAATTCAGAGACATTTGGTAGGTGTACATGTCACTGCAAATGAGCAGCCCAGGGGGAGCCCACAGAGTGAAAAACGATTTCCAAGGCCCCATGTTTTCTTTGGGTAGCCACTGGCCTGGCTGTGGTAGAAAAGGAATCGGGGAAAGAAAATAGAAAGGTTCCCAGCGCTAGAGGGAAGCTTTTTATCACTGGTAGAGAAAAATGCACCCATCCATGAGCTTCCATCCCACAGAGCATCTGGCAGGAAGGGCTGCTTCATGGGACGTGCACAGGGTCCGCAGTCAGGCAGACAGGTGAGTCACCTATCAGTCACGTGACCTTGAGCACGCCATCGAACCTCTCTCACTTCCCTCGTCCCTAAAAGGGGGTCATGACATTGCACCGCCTGGTAGTGAGGCTTCCATGCAACGCTGAATGGAGAGGTCTTACGCTTCCTGCTGTAAGACAAATGCTGAATAGAAAGCCCAAGTCCCATCGCCACCCGTTTCACCCCCAGGGAGCACAGGGCGGGCCCCGGCTTGAGGACGAGACTCACCGTGGTGACCTGGAGAGAGTACTGGTCCTCCCGCTGAGGGAGGTTGGCCAGCTGGGACATCCAGCTGAACTGCTCGTTGAGCTGCTTCAGCAGAGAGGAGGTGTTGAGCATCTTGCGCTGGTAGGACCGGAGCAGCTCGTCGTACTGCTCGGTGAGCCTCTCGGCCAGCTCCAGGGACCTGCTCAGCTCCTCGCGCAGCTGGCTCTGGGAGGGGCTGCCGGCCGAACAGTCTGCGCGGACACGGGCAAGCGGGAAGGGGAGGAACACATGGGAACCGGTTCAGGCAACCGGGCCCGAGGCAGAGGCGGGGCTGGGGCCCTGCTGGTCATCGGGCCCTGACAAAGTAAAGAGCTCGACCCAGAATGTAACTCAACGGGTGGCCCCCTTCATCGAGAAAGTCTCGTTCTGGAAAAAGGTTTCAGCTGGACTAAACGGTGTGCTCAGTGACATCACTGGAGACTGGTGGCGAGTGGCGTGGACCACACTTGGTGAAGTGTGGACTTCAGTGCTCCGTGTGCTCAGACCTGGGGCCACTCTGGGGCCCTAGTCCCCCCATGAGTCATTTCTGGAGAGGGGGAATGTCACACATAGCTACAGGTTTGTGGCACCTACTACATGCCAGATACCACATAAGTGCTTTGGATATTCATTATCTGTAATAATCACGTAGAAATATTCTAAGAACTACCAATAATGATTTTTTTTTAACCAGTAATGAAATGGAGGCCCACAGAAGTAAATCACTTGCCTGAAGTCATAGGATAAAGAATTCGTGGAACCAGGATTGAACACAGAGCTTTAACTCCTAAACTTAGGCTCTTCCTATTTGGAGTCTGTAGGCCTGGAAAATTCTCCAAGTTTGTCTCTGGGCAGAGCTACAGAGTTGGAAATTCTGGCCCTAAGAGTTCATTCGGCAGAAGAGCTGGCCAGGACCCTCAGGTCACAAAGCACAGCACAAAGCACCCACCCACCATGGCTGGTTCAGCTTACCAGCGAGCAGGGAAGAGAGAGTTCATTCTTTTTGGCCTCTGAGTGCCCGCTGCAGGGTGTCAGACTGAACTACCCACTATTTCTAAAAACTACTGTTTTTTCTCTCCCTAAGTTTTTCAAAAATATTCCAAGGAGCCTGGCCGGGTGTGGCTCAGCAGTTGAGTGTCAACCTAGGATCCAGGAGATCAGGGTTCAATTCCCAGTCGGGGCACATGCCTGGGTTGTGGGCTCGATCCCCAGTTGGGGGCGGGCAGGAAGCAGCCGATCAGTGACTCTCTCATCATTGATGTTTCTATCTCTCTCTCCCTCTCCTTTCCTCTCTCTGAAGTCAATAAAGATATATTGGAAAAAAAAAAAAATTCCAAGGAGAGCACATCAAACCCAAATAGGTCAGGGGAAGAGAGATCTTTTCACACTAAAGAATGGTAATCATTTCTATTAAATGATTATATGTAATCATTTCCATCAAATGGTTGTATTAAATGTAACCATTTGTATTACATAAAAGAAATGTTAGGTGGGGCAAGACAGACAATTACTACCAAGAAGCCAGGCTGGAAGAGATAGATAATGAATAACCTTACCTCTTTTACCAGGAAATAATTTAAATATAAGAGAAGTCATTGAGAACAGAGACTAAGTCTAGAGGTGATGGGGGGAATGCTGCCCCCCAAGGGATATTTAGCAGGGTCTTGAAAACAGTTTTGGATATCACATCCGGGAGTCACGTAGCTACTGGCATTGAGTGGGTAGAGGCCAGGGATGCTGCTAAACATCCTACAGGGCACAGGATAGCTCCCAGTGACAAAGACTGATCTGGTCCAAAAGGTCAATAGTGAGGAAGTTGAGAGATTCCAGTCTGGAGTTCCTGGGCAGTGCCAGCTTATACCATTGCAAGAACCTTAAATAAGAGGCCATAAGTGTCCCTCAATGTGAAAAAAAAGGTGGCTGGCCCGGCCAGCGTGGCTCAGTGGTTGAGCGTCGACCTGTGAACCAGGAAGGTCATGGTTCGATTCCCGGTCAGGGGACACACCCAGGTTTCGGGCTCGATCCCCAGCAGGGGGCGTGCAGGAGGCAGCCGATCTATGACTCTCTCTTCCTCTCCATTCCTCTCTCTGAAATCAATAAAAACTTATTTAAGAAAGAAAGAAAGAAAGAGAGAGGGAGGGAGA